CCGTGAAAAAGGGGTAGAGGTCGGCGAAAGGAAGGGGCCAAATGCTATTGGTGGGCGGGGCATGCACCGAAGTAGGCGGAGTTTGCCACGAGATTTATTGTCCGAAGCGGATAGAATTTAGGCTGAGAATTCAGATATTCGTGGTGTATCAAGCCAAATTTGAAAATTTTCGTCGCACCATCAAAATTCGCCGCAGATCTGTGTTGTGCGCGCAATGCGTGCGGCGCCAACTGGTTACCTAATATTTTCCATCATTAACGAAGAAGTGTTGGCATCACTGCCTAAAAAGTGAAATGTCTGAAGTAATCAAGACGTCTACCTAGAGAAATAAGTAGACCAATCTACACTCACCACTGCCCACTGAGGAAATTTATATACTTCTGAGCGATGTTCCACTGTTAATTCATTCCGCATCATCGTGAACACCATGATGACCTAAACGTTAATCAAATAACATACTCCCCTAAGAAGCGCTGCTCATTTGTATGGACGGAGATGCAACTAACTTTAAACATCGATTTTAGTAAGATTTTAGCTATCGTATTTTAGTACGAAACTCAAAATCGAGGTTTTAGGACATGTAAGAGCTGATTTTCTATCATGATCCGAGATTGAAATATACATAGGGCAGGATCTCGGAACACAGACATAAGGACAGAAAAAAGGAGGCATCGACATTTCAAGGGAAGTTATTTCTTTCAGTTTTTCCAAGATCCATGAAAAGAAAAGTGGAAAAGTAATAGCTGCAATTTTGTGCTTCGCACAGCATCTTACACTGCGAGGCAAGCATCCGCTTAGTTGGTATCATAAACAAAAACGAACCAGCCCTATTGCTGGAGTGATGAACTTCCAACAGAACCCCCATAGAGGCGCAGTTGGTCCAAACAAACGTGACAATAATCCGCCACCTGGCTCTCCGAACATTTCATAGATATCCTGCTGGAAGTTTGAATAGCCTGAATGATTCTGAATCATTTCGTATCTTGAAAAGGTGTTTTAACTACAGTAGATATCGTACCATAGATATACATGAATATCACCAGTTCCGCCGTTATAACGACACAAGCAGAAGTCGAACCACAGAACAAATCAAACACAGTAAACCAGAAAATACCGCTCTGAAAAGAGCCATGCTTGGAAGAAAACGAAAAAAAGCTCAGGAAATTAATTGCTGTGAGTTCAATAGGTCTGGGTAGGTTTGAAATGAAAGTACAGTTGCCAAGTGGTGCAGCAGTGGCGAAAAAAAAAACAGAGCAATGCGGAAGCCAATATGAGGTAACTCATTCAATACGTTTCGATGCTCAGCCACTTTTCACTAGTTGATAGTTATGACCAACAAGCCTTCTCAAAAACCTCTTCGATTACCTGAGGTCAATGTGTGTGAACTCACTTCAGTCGTCATGATCAGACCGCAAACAAAAAGGGTCAAGCAGCAACACACTGACACCAACCACTTGGATTTTCTAGTCACTGGCCATTGATCATAGATGCTTGTACAAATGGTCTCAGCAAAAGCTAAATTAGTGAGCGGATTCGAAGACACGATTCAGAATCATACCAAATAAAGTAACTTACCAATCTCCGTACTAATACCCAGGCAGAATAGCATTGCGAAGAAACATATCGCCCAAAGTGCGGGATACGGCATTTTTGCCATCGCTTCAGGATAAGCTACAAACGCTAGAGATAAGCCTGAAAACAAATTGAAATAAGAGAAGCACTCAAAACACTTATCAAAATCCCGTTTTCGCCGCTTGAAGCTACTTGTTTACTCAGTGAAGTTGCTTCCTTATCCTCATACAAGATATGAGCCGTAGCGTTCCTTTTGGCAACGACAATCTCGCCCGTGGTAGCTCCAAGTGCTACCGTTCTATTCACTTTCTGGCTTTTCTGAGTGGTGCCTGCCTACTTCGTACCGCGAGATCCCACTCCAATTTTTCTCGCTGAAATTTCTACCAGAGCCTGAAAGCGGCCTCGGCTGCACTTTTGCCGAGTTTAGAAACAGCCTACGCTAAAAAAAACGTTGACTGAGGTGCGTATACCCCCTTTCAAAAACGAGAAGAGCGTCGGGTGCAGACCATACACCACAAGTGACGACGGCCTCCACAAAATGTAAATGTTTTCTGCCAATGAAATGATGTTGCAGTTGTATTCTATCAGTTGTCACTAATTACAACTATCATTTACCAAAAATCAGCTATCACTATGAACCACTACTAACCAGATTTACTTGGAGGCCGTCGTCACTTGTGGTGTATGGTCTGCACCCGACGCTCTTCTCGTTTTTTTTTGAAAGGAAGGTACGTGAGCAAATGAGGCGCGTCGTTATGGAACTAACTACATCTACAATGAGTTTATTAATTTCTAGAGTTTTATCCTCCTTCTCTCCCTAGAAAGAAAATAATATACTCGCCACTGGATACCACTTCCTCAATAGGCTTGTGAATTTGACGAGATAGATAGCCAAGTGTCGCAAATACCGCAACACCTCCAATGACACTCATAATTATAACACCCCAGACTACTATCCAAGCATCCTGAATATGAAATTGTGCATTATTTCATTTACCATCGTATCGTAGTCAAAAGCGTAATGGAAAAACAAAAACAAACCCTGTAGCAATTATTGTAGCGGTCACTGTAGGATGCAAGCGCAATAATGCCGCCATATCCAACGCTCATCGCATAACAGATCTGTATGAGAGCTGCTGCCCATGTCTAAAATAACTGCATAAAGACAAATGAGTGACGTATTGAAGCTCATCAATGGCGCTTTTAAAAGCATCCTGTTAGTACTCAGGTAAATTTTAACACCCACTCGGTTAAAGTAACGATTTATGAAATCTGTGACTATTCAGAAAGTTTTTAGGTTTTTAATCCGTGCTGCTGAACCTGGTACATATAAGCCGATCCTGTAGCAATAGTGGGGCATGTTTGGGTTGAAGGTAGCTCAGTCCATGATCTCTTGAATAGTAGTGACACCTTATGCCACGGCTCCATCTCTACTCTTCATGGATAGTGAATAAATTCAGCGTATCAATCATTTAGAGAACCTCTTGGCTTAGCAATTTCTTGAAATCTGGTTTTCCAAGAAAATAATGCACTCCATCAGAAGCGCCTTCGAGAGTGATTCCACGAAAGAATAAGATCATTATTATTACGTAGGGAGCTGTTGAACTAACCTAAAAACAGGACCTAAGATGTAATGAAACTTTGAAACCTGAAGGCGACCTGACTTACATAGGCGACTTTTCCCATATACTCGTAGCCTTTCACCAATGCCATTATAACAAATGCCCACATCATCGCCAATGTTAGTAGCGTCGGCCAATTCACCTCACCAATGTCGTCAATCCCATCTGATCTCTTTGTTATAACATTCCTTCAAATGTATCTCAATCAGATTAATATTATTCAATCAAAGGCAGCTTTCTTTCAGGCACAATCAACCTTCACACTGAGCAAAAAGCTACATAGGCATTGAGATGCTTTACACCTTGGAGGACGCTTGAGCTGGAGTTCCTTTTCCAATTAAATTACTCGTTTTAATTAATTGAAGCAAATGCGGTACATCGACGAAGCTCAAATGAGGACTAGCCAATACCAGTCGATCGGTTGCTCCCCTAAGCGTTGCCAGCCGACGACAGCCGAGTAATTTAGCTACGAGACTTCTTACAGGTAGATGTGAAAAAAAACCAAAGTGGAAGTGTGTTTCTGCACCAGTAGAAGTTTGGCATTTGAGGTGTAATAGATACTGAACCGATGAAAAATCACTACTATTGTATATACAAGCTGGGATCCTTAAAAAAAAGCTACTTACGTAAAATACTGGTCAGAAGGTGTCGTCATTGCTTTGTACGCCGTCGCAGTACAAGTACCGTTGAAAGCAATCGGATACTTAGGATCTTTCTGCGCACATTCCCTCATTAGTTCTTCATCGGTGCAATCTGTGATGAAGGTGACAAACATTGTTAGATACTGTCAGTGAACTCATTGCCGAACATTAAGCTGCGTAGTTTAATAAAACAGGATTCATTAAGGTTAGAATGGTATATCTTCAGATTACATCGCTAAATATCAAAAGCTTGCTAGCAGTAAGCGATAATAAAATATAATCAGAACAAAAGCAAAGCAGTGATCAAGTCCCTTTTGTGATGCCCATGCATTTAATTCACCCAGATTGTAGGCGCTAGTTCGGCAAATACGAAAACTTCCACGCTACCAAAACCCTCTGTATTCGTCCTCACAAGCTAATCCTGGGACCGACGTCATAGTCTTCGACGGATCAAGCGATTTGGTCCGTCGCCGACTATGACGTCGGTCTGGACCATGAAGTTGACCTCAGAGAAAAATGAAAGGTCTGATTGATAAAGGAGGGATTCTATCATAAACCAATCCCCATGGACGATTTACTTCCTTGCAACACTACTTCCCACTGTCCCTCAAACGTCTTATTGTTGGCAATAACGTATTGCATTAACATCTGACGCCAACGTCAAGCGTTTAACAAGCAGCTCAGAAGTCTAGAAAGGTGAACAAAGATGGAATGCGGACATAAATACTCACAGATATCGTTCCAAAAATTGTCGCAACTTCCCCATATAGGCATCATTCCAACGATGGCCATAAATAGATATAGAAAACTCCACGCAGTGATTACACAGTAATAGACGCTAACTGTGAGTGAAATCAAAGTCATTGACCATCCCAGACCTGAGAAAAAAATGAATTTATTAAACTGAAATCTAGGCAAAGCAAACATGCGCAGATGATAGGAAATAAGTAATAAAGTTCATAGTAGCTAATTTTTTTTCTACCTCTCTCATTTTCATTGCAAATCAGGGTGAAAGAGTACGTTACTCATTAGCCGACGGCAGATTTTCTCTCACGTTAGTTGCCATTGTAAGTATGTGCTATAACCACCTGCTCAATACTATTTACAACGGTCTGGTCCTTCTATGAGGAATTAATGTCATACATTGTTCTTTTGAAGGATATACTGCAGACTACTAGTTCGCTCCAAGAGCTTTAATGTATTTACTTAGATTAACACGACTGCTTGATTAATAAATTTAAGAGTTAGGCATGAATAAAATCCATCCAATCCAATGAATATGAAATGTCAAAGAAATAAACATAATAACGACAGAAAAGAGGAGATAGTGATTTGGTTCAAATCCTTTGAAGTATACCCTTGCGAATGCATATCAAAATCATGTATCAGAATCATGTATCAGCTCCCAAGGGCAACGACAGAAGATAGACACCTCATTCGGGTCTATTCCAGTTAGGGGGCATCATGATGCAGTTTCTCGGCGAGCTAATGTAAACTCGAACATTCCAGCTTTTCACGCATGTCAAGTGACTGCCCTCACCCCCACCCCCCCCTAGACTGGCTACACTCCCCCTGGCTCGGAGTTACCCTAGCTTTCTGGAAAAACTGCATCATGATGCCCCCTAACTGGAATAGACCCCTCGTTCTTTTTACATTTTTGCCAGAAGGAGTTTCGTTTCGTGACGATATCATGGCCATTTCGAGGAATACAGCACTACATTCAAACCTTGCAGAGCAGGCATATAGTGTTGAAATATTGTCGATGGTCCACAGTTTGTATACTGCCCAACT